ACTGCTATTCCTTCAGAATGTACCAGAACTTGACAATTCTCACCATATATAAGCCTGACACTCTAGTTTACTAGAATGTTGCCTCCTACTTGGACCACTAAAATGGTCTAGTTACTGCTTTCATCCAGGCTCCAGAGTGGTAATTTTTTTGTTGTTTGATTTTTGGCTTTGAAACAAGCCATCAGGTTGTTCAGGCTGGCTTCAAAATTGCCATGTAGTTGAGGGTGACCCTGAACTTCTATCTCCCAGATGATAGGATTACAAGCCTGCACCATTACCACTTACTGGAGATAATTTGATAAATTCAGGCTTTCTGCATTCAAAGCAAACACTCTGCCAACTAAGCTACATTCCCAATCCCAGCATGGTGAGAGAGAGAGAGAGAGAGAGAGAGAGAGAGAGAGAGAGAGAGAGAGAGAGAGAGAGAGAGAGAGAGTGGGTGTGTGTGTGCCACTCCTGGTCTGTGGATGACTGTGAGTCATCCAGTGTTGGTGCTGAAAACTGATCTCTGCTTTCATAATAGCAGAAAATGATCGTTACCACCATCTTTCTAGCCCCAGAGTGTTTCATTTTGTTTTTAACTGTAAGGCACGGTGAGAATTTATAAAGCATTGGTCATTTCATCTCACACTTGACTCCTTCATGTCCTCAGTCTATCAGGCCTGTTGGGCTAATTCTAGGCCTTTTGAACATTTTGAACCTGCTCTAGAATACTCTTCTAGATTGCTAACCAGTTTGCTCTCTTCCTTCAGGCTCTGGTCTGTGACCTTACAAAGAGGCCTTTCCATTTCCTGTCCTGCTAACATAACACTGAATTCTTCCCTATCTCTCCAGCACTCTCTATCTGCACCAACCATTACTTCCCTTAGTTTCTCCAGCATATTACTGATCCTTAAAGAATGTTATTATATATCTTTTATTATGCTGTCTTTCTCATTAGAATATAAATGCAGACACCTAAGGATCTCCCCCTTATCTCTACTGCCGTATACCCAGAGCCTAAAAGAATGCCTGACATATAAAGAACAGTCAATATAATCTGTGGCCTAAATCGACAGGCTCAGCATATGACCAGTGGAACCTTACTAGCTAGTATAAAGACACACATAAGATACATGCGAGAAGAAGACATTAAATTAGACCCAGGGAACTCTCTTCAGTATTTTAAGGCTTCATTATGTTAAGAAGGTTTCTGTTGTCTTTACTACCTTATCATCATTTACAACTGGAGAGTGAGTTGTAGATTCACAGCCTATTAAAAGCCTTTTACAATCCTAAGATAAAATAAATAAGCAAACAAATAAATGTTTTAAAAAGTCAATATAAAAGCCTTTTACACAGAATATTATCTGACTAGAATTTAGTAATTGTATCTAATTTTCTTTCTTTTTTTTTTCTTTCTTTCTTTCTTTTTTTTTTTTTTTTTTTTTTTTTTTTGTTTTGGTTTTGGTTTTAGTTTTTTTGGGACAAGGTGTCTCTGTAGCTTTGGAGCCTGTCCTGGAACTGGCTCTGTAGACCAGGCTGGTTTTGAACTCACAGAGATCCACCAGCCTCTGTCTCCCAAGTGCTGGGATTAAAAGAGTGCACCATCACTGCCCAGTTTCTTGTCTTATTTTCATTCTGATTTTTTTCATTAATATTTGTATGTGTGTACACAAGCCATAGCCCCATCAGTACTGGAGGTCAGAGGACACCTGTGGCAGCTGGTTCTCTTCCCACACCATGTGGGTTCAGAGGATGGAACTCTAACTGCTGAGTCATGTGTCTCATTTAAGTCTCCCAATAATTCTAGGAGGAAAGTATAAATTTGCAGTTGAAGAAACTATAGATGCATCTTCCATAAGATACAAAGCTTCCTCCATCCAGATAAACTTCACATAAAATTTGCTATTTTGTTAAAATGTATAATTCAGTGTCTTTTAGCATATTTATGATGGTGTGTAACATCATTACTACCTAATTGCAGAACATTCTCATCCTCAAAAAAGTCAATAAACTTTACTTATCACCTCCAGTTCCCCTCCTAACCCTAAGCAATATTAATCTGTTTTCGGGGTATATATTCACCTTTCCTAGACACTGAAAATAAATGGAATTGTACCTGTGGTTTTCTGAGAGCTCTTTCTCTCTCTAGTGTGTGTGTGTATGTGTGAGTTACTGGGGATTGGACTTATGGCCTCTCACATGCTAGGATAAAAAGAACACTATCACCAAGCAACATTGACCGACACCCCCCTGCTTATATGTGGTCTTTTGTATCTGGCTTCTTTCAGTTAACATGTCATGAAGGTTATTAGTACTTTTTATGAACAACTATGGAGGTAGTTTATGGCAGGGTGCTTACTTAACACATGTGAAGCACTAGTTTGTATCACATACCACAACAATTTAAAATTTTGAACAATAGTTTTTATGACTAATGCTAGCCTATTTTGCATATTCATCACATCTGTTTGTCTATCATCTTATGGATATTCAGGTTGTTTCTACTTTGGGCCTATATGCAATGCATATATGAATAACTTCTTGTTTGAACATGTTTCCACTTCTGAGTATATACTGGTAGAATAGGTAGGGTGGTGATCATATGTTACACCTTTTTCAGAAACATTAAACTGAAGCTGGGAGTTGGTGGTGCCTGCCTTTAATCCCAGCACTTTCAAGACAGAGGCAGACAGATCTCTGTGAGTTCGAGGCCAGCCTGGTCTACAGAGCGAGTTTCGGGACAACCTCCAAAGCAATACAGAGAAACCCTGTCTCGAAAAACCAAAAGAAGAAAAAGAAAAAAGAAAGGAAGAAATAGAAAAAAAAGAGAGAGAGAGAGAAACGTTAAACTGAATTCTAACGTTGCTAGAACATTTGGATCAGCAGTAACAACATTTCACTGCTCCATATCCTCCCTAGAACATAAGAGGTGACTCTTGCTTTTCAAACTTGCCATTTGAAGAGGTATCATGAAGTTAGTGCTAATTCACATTTCTCTAATGATTAGTGATATTGACCATAATTTCACATACTTATTGGTTAGCTGTATTATCTGATGCAAGTCCTTTATGAGGTAGGAAAGGGGAAATTACAAGGACCCAAGGAGCAAAAGGAGCCTCTTTCTCAACAGCATCTGCTTGAGGCCTTTCACCTTTCCCATCTATAAACCTATAATCTTCTAGGACTCTCGTCAGAAACTCTATTTACAGTAAAGGGCATGTCCTAACCCCTTGTACAACACTAGTGGCTCCTTGTTTTATCAGATTGTAATCTCATCCAAGGCATTTCTGAAGCATCCTATAATCCCATTTATGAAAAAATAAAAAGGGATAAGCCTCCTTTTTCATTTGACATGTACCTTCAGAGCCACTAAGAGTTAGCTTACTCTTAACTCCTAGGTTTAAAATCTATGCTAAAACTATCTTTCTTTATAAAGTGCGCTCCTTTTTGAGGAGCCCACGCCTATGCTCTCAGATGTGCTTTATTTTCCTCTTGAGTGTGTATCTGCCCCCCTCCAGGGATCCTCTGTGTAGCCATGGTTGTTCTGGAATTCACTCTGTAGACCAGGCTGGCCTCAAACTCGAAATCTGCCCACTACTGTCTCTCAAGTGCTGAGGTTAGGCTGTGCACCACCTCCCTGACCCCCCCCCCCCGCCCAAATTATTTAAAGGGGTGGGGTTCTCATAGCATACATGTGGAAGTAAGGGGGAGTCACCATGTGGGTTCTGCAGATAAATTCAGATGGTCAGGCTTGGTGGCACACATCTATATCAAACCTCTGTTTTTAATAAGCTAAAACACTACTGGTCCCAAACTTCTTTGCTGCATCCAAGCCAAGGATCTGGTTTTACCTTACTCATTGTCCCTGCTGATAGGGACAGTCTGGCTCTATGTTTCTGCTGCTGCGCAGCCACTAAAACTTTTAATTATTATTATTTTTTTTAAGTTGGGGTCAGGGGGGGGAGAATGTATGTACACATCACAGTGTCCTTGGAGAACCCCGGAACTGAATTTACAGGCAATTGTGGGCGCACGATATGAGTGGGTGCTGGGAACAAAACTCGAATCCTCTGGAAGCGCAGATCTTAATCACTGAGCCCTTTTCCCACCACCATCACTTAAAAAAAAAAAAAAAAAAAAAAAAAATCAGTTCCCTTTTTGTTGAGTTCTAAGTTTCCTTTTTGAAATGTTGCATTTGGGGCTACTGAGACGTTTTAGAGGGTAAAGGCAGTTGCTGCTAATACTGGTGACCTGAGTTGGATCACTAGAACCCACGTGGTGGAGAGAACCAACGCCTGCAAGTTGTCCTGTGACCTCAGATGTGGCACACATACTCCCTTCCCGCACACAAGAACTAAAATGTAAGGTAACTACAAAATGTAACCTTTAAAATATAAAGAAAAACATGAAATACACAACAGTGTAGTAACGGTCAATATAAAAAAAAAAATGCAGTATGAAACCACAGATCAGGCTGTGGACTATACTCTAGTTACAGCCCAGCTTGCTCAACCCTTGCAGAAACCAAGCCGAGTGTGGTGACACACATCTTTAATCTCGGCACTCCGCGGTAGAGGCAGAGACGGTGGCTTTCTGTGAGTTTCAAGCCAGTCAGGGCTACATAGTGAGACTTCTATCTCAAAAATAAATCCCAAGCAAAAACTGCTATGCGAGACGGGAATGGGGCCGGCTAATCTCTCTGGGCCTAGTTTCTCTGACTTTAAAACGGGAATCAAGTCGTGGTCGCACCCAAACGTTAGATGCTTGACGCAAACTGCCCGGCACAACTGAAGAGCTGACTCAGCGTTTGCTATGGCTACGCCCTCCACAGAGGTTACCTCTGGGCAGGTGACCCGCCGGCAGCTCTTCCTGTTCCGGTTCAGAATGCAGCCAACCGCGCACAGCTTTATGCGCACGCTCGTCTCATCACGAGCCCACCCCGAGCGCGGGAGAACCATGACCCCCAAAGCCTGACTTCCGTTTCCGGAGTGGAATGCGGCTTCCGGCAGCGTGCGCTGAGCGCGCCGTGCTCGCAGGTGCGGCAGCCGGAAGGGTCTGTGCTTGCCGACGGTAACTGGCCCGGGTGGGAGTGGCCGGGTAGGCGGGTTGGAGGGAGGGCAGCGGTGACTTTGTGAGTCGGTGCCGGGACGGAGCATCTGGCCTCTCGCCGGGCCTCATCGCGGGTGGGAGTGGGAGACCGACTCCCTTCGGTCTGAGCCACCTATCAATTTTCCGATCTGCCTGTAAAGGTGGAGTTCTATACATAGTGACACGGAGTAACCGTGGTGACTTCTGTGGCCTGTCCTTGGTACAGCGTAGGGACAGCGAAGGTGTTAGCCTAAGTCATAACTCCTTTGAAAAACCTAATGGCGGATCCTCCGGCACGGTAACACCGCAGCAGCCCCTTCTACCTGCACAAACATTCATAGTGTTAGTGTTAGTTTGTGTTAGTAAATTAATGTATTTTCAGCATCTCCCCTGGATGCATATCATTTCAAAGTCACCGTGTAGTGAGGTTTCAGATCTTTGTAATTTAGATAGTGGAAGTTGTGTTAATCTTTATTAAATTCACTGCCCACTTAACTAGAGGGAAGAAAATACATACTCTACCCACACACTAAAAAGTTTTGATCATTAGCCCAGAATTGTGTTATTCTCATTAAACTCTAACTTTGAGAGAGGTTATTTAGTTCCCAGTTTGAGGTCAGGATTAACTTGCTTTGGTGTCTTTTGGACCTAAAGCAAGAATTCCAACCGCCAAATTCTGAACTGCTAGCTGGAGGGACAAGATGGGAGGAGTTCTGTTTTCATGTTAACAAGTATAGTAGTAAGATGCCGCTTGCCCACACAGATGACCCCCCCCCCCCAACCAAACACTGCATGTTAGGGAAATGCTCTGCTTTGCCTTCTTTTCTCTTACATGCCTGTATGTTGCTTGTTTAATCATGCTTCACTGTCTTCAATCTCTGCCCTTACTTACATGACAGTACAGTTTTAATTCTGGTACATGCATTTGAAATATGAAAAGAGACTGAGATTTGTTTGTTTGTTTTTCTTTTCTGTATTGCCTTTAAAGGGACTGTTAGGCCTTTTAGAAACATTTCCATCATGCCTGACACTCAAGAAGCTACCAACCAACTCTTGGATATGAACCTTCATGAGAATGATAAGTCTGTGCCAGTGATAGAAGGAGGCCTCAGAAGTGATTCTGAGCATCTCCGAGCCACTATCGGAGCCACTGTGCCTACTGGCTTTGAGCAAACAGCTGCAGACGAAGTGAGAGAGAAACTGAAGTCATCATGCAGAATCAGCAAAGACCGGGGCAAGATATATTTTGATATTGCAGTGGAAAGTCTGGCTCAGGTTTGGACAAAATAGTATTTAAATTAGACTTCTAACTTGGTTTGTAGAACCCTTGGAAATACTTTGCTTTTTTTCTGCTCCAAAGTATCTTTGGGTTTTCTGTTGTGTACTGATGTCTGAAATTGACTGTATTTTTCAGTGTACACTGTTAAATGTTTATAATGTGTATTCAGTTTAGTGCATTTTAGTGTTAGTTTACTATGGTTTAGAACTGATCATAGCAGGCCGGGTGTTGGTGGCTCACTCCTTTAATCCCAGCACTTAGGAGGCAGAGGCAGGTGGATCTCTGTGAGTTCGAGGCTAGCCTGGTCTACAGAGCAAGGGCCAGGACAGGCTTCAAAGCTACACAGAGAAACCCTGTCCTGAAAAACCAAAAATAAATAAATAAACACATAAGTAGATAAGTAATAATAAAAATTAGCAGAAGTTAAAGCAGATATTCCATTTCATCTGTGTCAGAGACATTCTTGATCAAAAGTAATTATGCATGACTGCAGTTGAGAAGAAGGGTTAGCAAACTGACATCTCATTAGTACAGAGGTTACAAGATGTCTCATTACCACACAAGTGACATAGGGCATAGATTATTGTCTGGAGATTTTTTTTTTAGGTATTGTTTTATCTTGCCAGTGTATCCCAAGCTTGTAGTTGGCACCCACAAAATAGTTATGGTATTTATTTATTGGTAAACAACTATTTTCTCGATGCCCTCAGCATCGAGAAAATACTTGTGAAGATTGGGCACTATTTCTCTTGGCATTAATCATTAGGTTTAAGAAGAAAAGTAATTTGTCTTCAGTAACTCAGCCATCACAAAACTAGAGCTTAAATCCCATGTGGATTTTTGGGGAGGTAGGAGGTTGAAACAGAAACAAGTCTGACATAGCCAAGGTTAGCCTAGATTTCTTTACAAAAGTGAATGAACTCTTGTTCTCCCTTGTTGTACCTCAGGATCCTGGGATTTCAGGCATGCACTTGTATATCCAGCTCTCAAATCTCGTGCTCTTTGCCGCTGCGGTGCACAACATACCACTGCAAGCCATGAAAGAAGTTTGATAAAGCTCCACCCGTGTTTACATTTTCCCCTTCTCCAAACTAGTATTGTTGCCTACATCTCAAACTGTTGTACTTTTATCTCACTGGCCCTTTGTCTGGCAAAAAGCAGGAACTGGTGGGTAACCAAAGAATGGAACACCCAGGACGAGAAAATTTTATGTTTACATTTTTCCCTTCTCCAAACCAGGGGGAAAAAAATATAAAAGATAGATATGAGCTGAGCACTCAAGAGGCAAAGGCAGGCAGATGTCTGAGTTCAAGGCCAGCCTGGTCTACAGAGTGTGTTCCTGGAAAGCCAGGCTGCACAGAGAGATCCTGTCTTGAAAAAAACAACAACAAAGATACAGATATGAGGTGCTTTGTTAATCCAAGTACTGGGAAGAACGAATCAGGGGAATCGTGAGCCAGAATAACATAGCAAGACTCTACCTCAAAATCAAAATGACACATTTTTGTCCCTTTTTTTTTCTTTTTTAATATTTAACTGTAGATAGCTATGTTATTAAAAAATATTTTTAGAAGTTTCTAACATTCTAACATTTGTTTTCCTCCCTAGGTTCATTGTCTGAGATCAGTTGATAACTTGTTTGTGGTTGTTCAGGAGTTTAAAGATTACCAGTTCAAAAATACAAAGGTGAGCTATTCCAAGCATGGTAGTTGATTCTTAGTCATTTTTCCCAAAGAGATTGTTTTCTATTATGTACTGCCTGTCTGTCAGTAGCTTTGCTATTGTATACAATGTTAGGAATAAAGCAAGAGCCTTGTATGTACCAAATACGTGATCACAAGCTTTTTCATTAAAATGCAGAAATCTCTTGACAGTCCATCCCAAAAGCTGCTTTTAAAGGTCAGTGTTTAAAAAAAAAAAAAAAACAAAAACAAAAAACTCTGAAGTTTATAGAAGAAAAAATTGACCAGAGAGTCTTAGATTAGCTTGGCCTATAGTACATATGGTTTGAAACTAGAATTGCTTCCAGCACATGAAAGAAAGAGCACAGTAGCATTCCGTCTCCACTTTGCTTTTGTCCTGTTTCAGTTTCATGTTTTGAAGTGAAGCCAAAGCAACATTTAATACCCCTTCAGTTGTTAGGACAACAGCTTTGTCTCTAGCCTGTATTTATCATCTGAGTCCTAAATATTCAGCTGCTATTTAATGTGAAAGTTGAAAATAGGCCTCAGTAACACTTCATGTTTTTTTCCTACATCCCTTTCTGGCCAGGTTTCCAGAGTCAAGTGCTTAAAACATTTTCTGTCAATGTTATGTTAATGTCTTTCTTAGAGATAATCTTTCTTAAAAAGAACTGTGGTATGCTGTCTAATTCTCTGGTCTTTATTAATTTTCCAGATTATTTTGAATAACCAAAGTATTCCCAGATCAATCAAACTGATTTGGGGGGAAGGAAGGGAGCTTAATAAAGCACTTTCCTTGTTAGGTCCTAGTAAAAAAATTTAAACAGCAACAAAAAGGCTAATGGAACCTTCCATAGCCTACAAAAAAATTCAAACAGCCCTAAAGGCATATCCATTGAAAATAGCTAAAAAAGTTTATTACCTACGAAAATAACTTTCAACTTTTAGAAGCAGTAGTATTGTAATCCCTTAGATTCATTTTTGTCTTTAGTGCTGCCCTGAGCATTTAGAACTCTTATATATATGTGTCCTAGTTGTTAGCTTTATAAATTACAACTTGGTATTATCTATCTAATCTATTTTTTTATATCCCTGCTATGATTGCAGATGAAATTGTCATGTTTTTTTTCCATTTCCATTCCATTCTGATTTTTATTGTTTAACTTCCTTAGTGTTGGGCCTGTAAATATACCCTGTCTGCTTGTACTTCTGTCCTTTGACCTGTAAGTGTAAGTGATGAGGGTTGCAGCATTCTTAAATTACTTCTCTTTCCTATTATACTTGCTTCTGTTTTATAGTCACAATCCACACTTTATTTTTATTTTAGTCTTAAAGCCAAATGGATAAAGGTGCATTTCTTGTCCTTCACTATTTGCTTATTTGTTTTGAAGATGAGGTTTTGCTCTATAGCCCAGGCTAGGCTTGCATTTGAAGAGATACTCCTGCCATTGTTAGCATAGCCCCTATTCCTGGCCGTTTCTAGTTATGTTGTTGACCTGAGTTGAGGGATGTTTATCTGTGTATGTTCTGTTAGTTGGAGTGTAAAGAACTAGTCTTCCCTTCTAGAAAGAGCCTGGGAGTCAGTGTTCATTTTCTTCTAGCGATTGATGTTGTGAAGAGTCTTGAGTTCATCTTGATAAATATTTCTTCCTTATTGTTTCTTTCTGTGTAATAACCAAAAAACAAAGAAAAACCCAGATTTCTTTGAAGTCATTTTAAGTTTGAGTATCTCTTACTGTTGATAATTCTTTGTCAGGACATGTCAGTATACTTTAACTTTCTGGAAAATATCTTAAATTATTGTAAATTGTAAAGTTCTTAGGTAAATAAGTATGTCTTAATTATTTTCTTTTTTTTTTTCTATCATTTTGTCTTTAGTTCTTTTTAACTCTTGCTCATTGTCATGCTATTTGCTTTTCTTTTCTCCATATCCTTTACTGTTTTTCAGCAGGATTCTATAAATACTGATTTCAGTGTTGTTTTTGCTGGTATTTATGTATACATGAGCACTCTTATCTTCATCTTATTCTCTTTTTTATTTTTTTAAATGTACATGGGTGTTTTGTCTATGTGTGTTTATGTGCACCACATACATGCGCCTGGTGCTCACAGGTCAAAAGAGGGAGCAGGATTCCCTAGAACTGAAGTTGTAAATATTGTGAACTACCATGTGGATGATGGGATCCAAGCTAAAGTCCTCTACAATAAGTCATCTTAATCACTGAGTCAACTTTCAAGCCTCCTCCACCTTGGTTTTTGTTTGGTTTGTTTATTTGTTCTGGAGTTTTGTATTTTGTTTATTTTTCTGGAGTCAGGGTTTCTCTTGTGGCTTTGGAGCCTGTTCTAGAACTTACTCTGTAGACTAGGCTTGCCTCATACTCAGGGAGGTCCACCTGACTCAGCCTCAAGAGTGCTGGGATTAAAGGCATCTGCCACCACCACCTGGTCCACCTTATTTTTTGAGATAGGGTCTCTTGGTGAACCTAGAACTCAACTTTCACCTAGGCTGGCTAGTGAGAAAACCTCAGGGATCTTCCTCTCTCCTCTACTCCAGTGCCTGCTTTTTTACATGTGTGTTGAGGAATTGCTCAGGTCCTCATGCTTGTATAACAGTAACTTTACCAACTGCATCATGGGCCTAACTCCTGCTTTAACTTTTATTTATTTTTTTATTTTATATTTTCTTTAAACTCTATATAGACTCCTTCATCTCCTGGTGACTCACCTCATTTCCTTGCTGCTTGAGTCTGCTTATTTTTTATGTCTTTGTCTTTAAATCATACACACACACACACACACACACACACACATATATACATATATACATACATATATTAAGATTTACTTATTGATTATGTATACAGTGTTTTTGCCAGCATGCCACCACAGATCACCAGATCTCATTATAGATGGTTGTGAGCCACTATGTGGTTGCTGGGAATTGAACTCTGGACCCTTGGAAGAACAGCAGTGCTCCTAACTCCTGAGCTATCTCTCCAGCCCTGTATACAAATGCATTCTTTTTTTTTTTTTTTTCTTTTTTCTTTTTTTCTTGGTTTGTGTTTTCGAGTCAGGGTTTCTCTGTAGCTTTGGAGCCTGTCCTAGAATTTGCTCAGTAGACCAGGCTGGCTTCCAACTCACAGAGATCCACCTATCTCTGCCTCCAGAGTAAATCATATTTCTTAATACTGTTCTGTGGTGACCCCCCCCCCCCCCGCTATTTCTTTCCTGTCCTGCTTCTGTTTCCTTGCCCTTCATCCTTTTGATTATAAGTTTTGAACTTACATCTGAATGAGATAGTTTCTCTTAGGCCTGTCCTTTTTAAGAAGGTCCTGAGGGTGAGACCCTGAGGGTTTTCTAGACCAAGAAGAGCCCTCTTTGGACTGACTGGGGATGAACAAATCTTTTCATCCTTTCTTTTCTCTTTTTTATTGTTTTATTGAACTATAAATTTTATTCTACTGAATGAATTAGTTTAAACTTTACTTCCTTTCTGGCTTCATGGGAATAGAGGTTTTAGAGTAAGCAGACAAAGCACACTTAACTCCTACCAACTGTAAACAAAAAAATTTGAAAAAAGTGGATTGATACAGCATGCTAACAGCTAGGTTGGAATATATAATGTGGCTGAAGTGACTGAGAAACTGAGTATTTCATTTCCTAAAGATTTTGTTTAGTTTTGTTTTAGACCAGGCTGGCCTCAAGCTCACAGAGATCCATCTGTCTTGCCTGGGATTAAAGGTGTGTACGACTTCTGGAGCTTTAAGTCATTTAAACATCTATACTGTGGTTGTTATATAGATTCTATAGCTCTGCTTGACTAGTGCTTGCTCTATTGGATAGCAGCCTCCTGTACTTCACATTTAAATATCATCCAGTAACTGCTTCTTTGTCCTTTACTCTTGTAGTACTAGCAGTTGAATTTAGGACCCCATACACCGAACCACTGAATTAGATCCCTTGGCCCTCTTACCTTTTATTTTAAGATAGGGTGTTAATAAGTTATCTAGGTTGGCCTTTAACCCACTTTAGCTCAGGAAAGCCTGAACTTGCAACTTTGTCATAGCTGGGATTACAACCCTGTGACAGTAAACCCACCTTGGGCAGCTGTATATTAACCACTCTTTTTATGCCTCTGCTGTTGTAGGTGTGTGGCCTATAGCAAAGGTCAAGGTAGTTTGGGTTTTTCCACCATGCATTTACAGGAGTGGCCTTGCTAGTAAACAGTTCATAAACCCAGTAACCATAGATCATGCTTAGTACTGTAGGCAAACTGGAAGAGCAGAACTTGACAGGGCAGGCACCACCAAACTTACTTTTTAAAAAATATAATCATATGAACCAGGTGTGGTGGTATGCATCTTTAATCCCAGCACTTGAGAGGCAGAGGCAGGTGAATGTCTGTGAGTTCTACACCAGCCTGGGCTACAGAGCCAGTTCTAGGACAGCCAGGGCTATAGAGAAGAGACCCTGTCTCAAAAATACAAAAAATAAAATAAAATAAAATAAAAAATAAAACCCCAAAAAGATGATCATACTATTTAAAATCTGGACAGATGACATTTTTAAACCTCAAAAAATTTGTTCAAATTCAGAAGATCTGAAAGGAAGTCATCTAGACTGGTTGCCTTCTTCCCCTCAGCTGCATCCATCCCATGCTTCCCTTTACAGGCATTCCTCAATGCTGTATGTCTGATCTGCCTTCTGCTCTATTATCTATAGTAGTACAGTGTTTGTGTTCCCTCACTTATCATTCACACTGGGATTTCCTTAATTGCTGAATTTATTTGCTTCTGCATTCCCACACCTCTATTATAAAGACCAGAGCTGTCAATAAAGAAAGTAGGCATTTATTTGTTGAGCTAAAATAGCGAGAAACAAAAGGGTTTCATTCTCCATCCTTTGCAGGAAGAAGTTCTAAAGGACTTTGAAGAATTGGCTGGAAAGCTCCCATGGTCTGACCCTTTAAAAGTCTGGCAAATTAACACCAGTTTCAAGAAGAAGAAAGCAAAGCGCAGAAAGACAAATCAGAGTACAGGTAAAGAGAAGGACAACTGTGGACAAGGAGACAAAGCAGAAGTGAAAGGCAGTAAGAAGTTTGCCAGCAGCACTTCAGAGTCACGTATCTTGGACTATTATGAAAATCCAGCCATCAAAGAAGAAGTATCAACCTTAGTGGGTGATGTCTTGGCATCTTGCAAAGATGAAACTGGTGAAAGCTTAAGAGAAGAAACTGAACCACAAGTACAAAAGTTTAGAGTCACCTGCAATAGAGCAGGAGAGAAACATTGTTTTACCTCAAATGAGGCTGCGAGGGATTTTGGGGGTTCTGTTCAAGAGTATTTTAAGTGGAAGGCTGATATGACCAACTTTGATGTAGAGGTGGGTATTAGCTTTGACTGATGATTAATGACTGGAATGGGGCTGGAAAGATGACTCAGTGGGTGAAGTGCTTGCTGAGCAAGCATGAGGACCTGAGTTTGGAAAGCTGTAAACAGATGTGTATGCATGTTAACCCTAGCACTGATAGGTAGAGACAAACAGTACCCTGGAGCTGATTGGACACTCCAGCCAAAACAGCAAGACACAGGATCAGTAGAAGACCCTGCCACACAAATAAGGTAGAATAGTAGAAAGACACTCATTGTAAACTGGCTTCCTCATACTTGCACATAAAAGAGAAAAAAAAAAGGTTCTCATACATTTGTAGAATTTCCAGACTAACCTAGTGCAGGTATAGGAAAACAGTGGCCATAAAGCTAGGAGGATGTAGTTAGGAATTGCATGGTCTGTGGAGATAGATGGCTAGGTATAGATTGAAATTTTACTCTGAAACTCTCTAGAATTGGACAAGATTTGTCTCTTTGAGCCTTTGTTTCAGATGAAGCCAATAATAGTATATATACCTTGAAGGTATATATACAATGGAAGGGAAATGAAATAATGGTTTAAAGTGTTTGGATAGTATATTGGTATATGCTGAGTACTCAGTGGGTATATGCTGTCAGAACTTAAGTAATGGTGGCATGCCCCCTTAGTCCTAGCAATCAGGAGGCAGAGGATCTTTTGTGAGTTTGAGGCAAGCCAGGCCTACATAGTGAGTTCTGGGACAGCAAGGATTATGTAGAAAGCCTGACTTGAGAAACCCTCAGGTGTACTCTGTCTCTGAACTTGGCATTACTGTTTCCAGCAGATGAAAGATGAGTCATTTGTTGGTTTTTTGAGACAGGGTTTCTCTGTATTGCTTTGGAGCCTGTCCTGGAACTAGCTCTTTAGACCAGGCTGGCTTCAAACTCACAGAGATCCACCTGCCTTTGCCTCCCCAGTGCTGGGACCAAAGGTGTGCGCCACCACTGTCAGGTGAGTCCTTTTTTTATACTGTGGACCCAGGACCTTGTACATAGTAGACTCTACTTCTAAGCTGCATCTACATAGTCCTCTAATTTCTTTTTAAAAAAAAATTATTTATCATGTATACAGTAATCTGCCTGCCTGCATGCATGCAGGCCAGAAGAAGGCACCAGATCTCATTACAGATGGTTATGAGCCACCATGTGGTTGCTGGGAATTGAACTCAGGACCTCTGGAAGAGCAGCCAGTGCCTTAACCTCTGAGCCATCTCTCCAACCCCCAGTCCTCTGATTTCTAACCTAGTATTTTCCCACATTATGTGGACTTCTAGGTTGTAAATTTATCTTAAAAAAAAAAAAAAAAAAAAACTTACTAAATCTTAGTTGCAGAGTTCTGTTACTACACCATAGTGGAATATGATTTTCAGATCTTCAAGTCTGGGTTTTCTAGCTAATCCCTTTTGGTTTTTTTTTTTTTTTTTTTTTTTTTTTTTAAGTTTTTCAAGAGACAAGGTTTCTCTGTGGCTTTGGAAGCTATCTTGTAGACCAGGCTGGCCTTGAAATTATTGAGATCCGCCTGCCTCTACCTCCTGAGTGCCATCAACACCTGGCTGTAGTTCTGCTTATTTTTCAAAATGGCTAGGTTCTTAAAACCAAATGCCTCCTGTTAGCTTGATTATCCTTTGACTACTGGGTGACTAATGTGAATAATAGTAATTATGTTCCTTAAATTTCTGGTGGCTTATATAGGTCCCTTTTTACCAAGAAGTAAATTTCTGTTGCTTTTGGGATACTTTACATCTGGGGCATGTCATTTTCTTTGTAACTTTTCTTTAAAAAATGTCAGACTAGTACAATTCCTCATATTCCCTTAAACAGCTGCCATGAGAATGAATAGGCTAAAGAACAGCCATGTCCAGAAATTAGCAAGGTGACACAGGACAAATCATGGAGCCACACTGCCTTGTTAAATTACAATATGAAGAGCATATGATCTGAAGGCTCTGTGTTCTAGGCTCAAGTGCATTTGTAGGAAATGAGGCCATGCAAGTAAGATGTGTAGAGCAGGGCCTTGCATGTTAGAGTGTCAGCTCCTTTGGTAAAGCCATGATGAGTCCATTCTAAGGGGAAGATTACCCAATCTTTAGAGTTTATCTTCATAGCATACTTTTGAATTAGGAATACTAAGAAGATAGTAGTTGATAAAGCAAATGTGACACAGTGTCAACTCTGGAGAAAAGGTGTGTTTGAGAGTCTGCTGTGAAAGTAGGCTTGTTGCACTTAAGTATGTTAGAAGTATTTTCCCCCCAAAATGTAATAATTTTAAAAATATATGTAGTCCAAGTATGGTGACCTATGCCTTTGATTTATGAGGCAGAGATGGGCAGATCTCTGTTATTTGAAAGCCAGCCTGGTCTATAATAATGAGTTCTAGGCCAGCAAGAGTGCATAGTGAAACCCTGTCTGGTTTTTTGCTTTTTGAGACATGGTTTCTCTTTGTAAAACTGGCTATCCTAGAGCTCACTCTGTAGACCAGGCTGACCACAAACTCAGCGATCAGCTTGCTTCTTCCTCCAAAGTGCTGGGATTAAAGGTGTGCGCCACCACTGCCCAGTGAAACCCTATCTTAAACAGCAATAAAACACACAGGTACTCATACATTCATATTTTAAAGCCATGCCATCAAAATATACTAATATAGTAAAATCTAAGAGATAATCTAGCAATATCTAGCTTGTATATATAGTGAGTGAAAAGAATAAAGTATTTTAAAATTAAATAAAAATAGTTTATATACATATATTTTTGTGAAGTTCCAACTAATTTGTAATAGTGGTCAGATTAATGATCACTCTGCATGTTGGCCAGGAAGGAAGCAAAGGGAGCCTTCTAAAAGTTACTGTATGTAGCTCAAAGCTCACAGAAATATGTATGTATTTAAGGTTTATATACCTCTGGGTTCAAGAAATGGCTCAGTGGGTAGATAGACTTGCCACAAAGGCTGCTGACCTGAGTTTAATTCCGAGGACACATGGTGGAAGTATAGTAAGCATGTAAAGTGTAATTCACTCAGAAAGTTTGTGTGGGCTAGAGAGATGATTCAGTGGTTAAAATAACTAGCTGCTCTTTCAGAAGATACAGGTTTAATCCTAGCACCCATATGGCAGGCAGTTCACAACTGTCTGTAACTCCGGTTCCCTAGGATCTAATACCTTTTTCTGGTCTCCATGGATACCATGTGTGCATGTGGTGCACAGATACACATTCAGGCAAAATACTCACACATAAAAAAAATAAAAATTTTCTAAAAGGAAAGTTTTTGTGCATTGTGGTTATATGTGTACAAGCCATGCCTGGCTTTTCTCTGGGTGCTGGGAATCCAAGCCCAGGTCTTCATGTTTGTGAGTGAGAACTCTCTTCACTGAGTCATCTCCCCAGCTCTGAATAAGAAAGTTGTTTTGATTTTGTTTTATCTTAAAAATTCAGAAAGTCTTAATAAGGCAGATATATATCTCCTACTTATGATCCAAGCATTTGTGAGGCAGAGAGTTTCAGTCTAGCTATCTACATAAGAAATTCAAGCCAGTCGTGAGTCTGAAGCCCTGTTTTACTGTATTCTTTTAAATTTATTCTGTTGTTTTTTTGTTTCATTTTGTTTGAGACAGGGTTTTTTTATTTAGTCTTGTTTGACCTGGAACTCACTATGTAACCCAGGCTGGCCTTGAACTCACAAGATCCACCTGCCTCTGCCTCCTAAGTACCAGGATTAAAGCACTTGGAAGGCAGGCCCACACCCAGCTAAGGCACTGCTTTTTTTGGGGGGGTGGTGGGAGTGGGGGCTTCAAGACAGGTTCTCTCTGTGTAGCCTTGGCTCTCCAGGAACTCACTATGTAGATCAGCCTAGCCTCAAACTCATGAGATTCACCTAAGGCCCTGCATTAAAAAAAAAAAAAAAAGTCTTGGTAATAAGTGCAGTTTGAATAATGCCAACTGTTTCTTTTGTTGGATTTGATGTAGGTTCTCCTGAACATCCATGATAATGAAGTCATTGTTGGCATTGCATTGACAGAGGAGAGTCTCCATCGAAGAAATATTACACATTTTGGACCTACAACTCTTAGGTCAACTCTTGCCTATGGAATGCTCAGGTAACAGAAGGGGATTTTTTGTCTATATTGCAATGGATACTTTGCTCTGAATCTTGCTTTAAAACACACATTTTCTAAAAGAATATTTCTTAGTTAGAATTATAAAATCACCTTTTTTCCTCCAGTATTCACTGTTGTGTGCTTAGATGGTGTGTTAGTATTCTTGATTATAAAGTGAGAGTGGTAGTGTTGTGTATATCTTCAGTGGATTGGCTGTTTCTGTTGAGAAAGGATATCCTTTTTTAGGATCTAGAGCCAGATTTACTGGGCTTTGTTTTTATACAGTGAAGCAAACAAGAGAGAGCCTTACAGTGTGTAAATGAATATAGAACTTGTATATTGAGTGAAGGTGTTGCTATGCAGCATAGGCCAGCCTTGGTATCCTGGGTGTTGGAATCATAGTACCCATTACCACACCCCACTTACTCATATTCTTAAATGTTAAATACTAGCAGCAGCCCATGGATCATTTTGGGACTTTCAGAAGTACAAAGCCAGCAACCCTTTGCTGTTGTCATTTTTCTGTTATTAGTGTCTTCTTTCTAGTTGTGTAGTAGTCCACATAAACACAAAAGAAAAAGAAGAAAAGATTTATTCATGCTGGAAAGATGGCTCAGAGTGCATGCCATAGATAATAATGACCTGCAACTACAGCTCCAGGGGATTCAAGCCTCTGCCTTCTGCAGGCATCAGCATTTACATGCACATATGTATCCAAACATGCACACATACACATACTTTAAAAAACAGAGTGGTAGCTGACTTTGGGGTTGTAGAGATGGCTCAGCAGTTACTGGTTCTTGCTGTTCTCCCAGAGGACCAGAGTTCAGTTCCCAGTACCCATATCTGGCAGCTTACAGCTGTCTTTAATTCCCATTCTATACCCTCTTCCAACACTCTCTTGTGGCCTGCATTGGTACCTGTACAGATGTACATACACATGTGCATATATACAGAGAGACAAAAATACATATGCATTAGTAAAAAGTTTGTTCATGGAAACTGAATGCAGAAACATAGACAGATTGTCTCATCCTGTACAGTGTCCAAATGAGTTATATAAGTATATTTTCTTTCTAGTCCTTGCTTCCTCTTTTATCCTGGTCATGTGTGGATTCATAGTTCCTCACAACTGGATCATATGAACTTGATAACAGAAAAGTTAAAGAAAGCACTCCTAAACTTCATTCAATTGACATTGATTGTCTGCCTCTAACTGTGATTATAGAAACCAGCATACAAAGAGTTACTTTGGGTGCAAGTATTCTCAATAGAATAAAAAAGTGATGACAGAGTCGAGGAAGTAGCTCAGTAAAGTGTCTGCTCAAGCATAAGGGTTTGACTTAGCAGCAGCAGCATATGCACTGAGACAGGAGGAACCCTGGGGCTTTCTGGCCAGCAAGTCTAACTAATTTGTGAGCTTCAGGTTATGCAGGACCCTTTCTCAAAAAGTGAGGTGAAGAGCAATTGAGAAAGATGCCCAGACAGGCATAGTAGCACAAACCTTTAATCTCAGCACTTGGGAGCAGAGGCAGACAGATCTCCAGGAATTCAAGGCTAGCCTGGTCTACATAGTGAATTCCAGGACGGCTAGAGCTCTGTAGAGAGATCCTTTCTCAAAACAAACAAACAAACAACCCCCCCACAAAATCTGTGTGTGTGTGTGTGTGTGTGTGTGTGTGTGTGTGTGTGTGTAGGGGAAGGGAGCGGAGCGGAGGGGAGAGATGCCCATTGTTGACCTCTGGCCTTCACATGCATGTGGGCAAACATAAGTGTGTACGCAAAGCACATTTCCTCACAGAGTAAGAATTATGCTGAGGATGGGGTGATTGGAGAGATGAGCAAACATTATTCCAAACCCACAAAAAAATTTTGAAAGTCATCTCAAGAAAGGTAGAGACTACGGGGCTGGAAAGAAGGCATAGTGCCATAAGAGCACTGGCTGCTCTTCCAGAGGTTCTGGATTCAATTCCTAGCACCAGTGCGGTGGCTCACAATTGTTTATAACTCCAGTTTCAAAGGATCTGATAACTCTCTGGCTTCAACAGGTACTGCTCATCTGTGATGCAGATATGCATGCAGGTAAAATATCCATTACACATAAAGTATAGAAACCAGATGGTAGAAAACTCAGGAGACTGCTTTTCTGTCACTTGAAAGCTTATGGGCTTTTGCTCAGCTCACCTGTGCACACGGCTGCCCATCATTTAAAGATATGTCCCTCTAGTTGCACATGACTAGCTCACACAGCCAAGGGCTTCTTGCTCTTTATTCCAAATTCTTAAGATTTGAGTGACATATTTTGATCAAATGCGCACTCCTGGCCCATTAGCAATGACTGACATTACAGGCTTACGTAAGAACCTTTCTTATGAGGGAAATCATTAACATGCATGGTGCAGGGTCTCAAACAGAACATGAAAAGGTTAGAACAGACAAAGCTTAGTGACCTAAGGATTGGCACTACACAGAGGAGGTAAGCAACACTTCCTGTAGTCCTGACTATTGCCTCGTTTTAGGTTCTAGGAAAAATTGTTTCTTTGCATGTTTTATTTGTTAAGTGGTAATGGGGTTGTTAGAAGGATTCGGTGAAATAAGTGTAAAGTTAAAGCAGCTATTTTATGTTAAAGATGTTATCTCTACAATTAAGAACAAAAAGGAAAGGATACTGAATGTCTCGTTGTCAGCAAATGACCACTAAAAAATCTTCCCAGCTCAGCTTCCCTAGTTCTGGGATAACAATTCTTGCTTCCTCTTTCTTTTTCTTCTCCAGCATTGAGTCTGAAACCCAAAGCTTTGTACACATAGGTGAGCACTACTATTAAGTGCCAGCCCCAGGCTGACTTTCAGACCATAGATTGCTGTTCTTCCTTTATGCCTATGTCCTAACCTTTAGGAATGTCTAAGGTTGTGGCTGATCTCACATGTGCTGATTTGTTTTCTCCCTGCAGGCTCTGTGAACCTAAACCTACTGATGTAATAGTGGATCCAATGTGTGGAACAGGGGCAATACCAATAGAGGTAATAACACCTCTTTATTTTTATATAAGCAAGTGATATGCCATTTATTTCAAACCACCAAGTGCCATACAACTAGATATTGACATTTGTTTTCTGGTTCCCAGAGGAGCTAAAAATGTCAAACTGATAAACCCTTTTTCTACAATAGATGGATGAACTACTAGGTTGAATAGCAGAGGATAATTGAAGTTATCATAAACTGGAGGAAGTTAGTTTTCATCTCCATATAATTAGAGGTTCCTGAAGCTAACAAGTTCAGTTATGACAGGAAAAACCAACAGAGGTGTAACTCAGTGCCTGGTACTTGCCTGGCATACCAGAGGTCCTGGACTTAGTTTTTAGCACTGCAAAACAAAACTAGAAACAAGCCCACCACCTATGAGCATTCTTTATGTTTGTTTGTTTGTAGATAGGGTCTTACTATGTAGCCCTGGTTGGCATTGAACTCACAGAGATTTGCCTTGCCTATCAAGGTCACAAACTACCACAGTCAGTCTTTTTACCTGTTTTCTTTTTTGTTGTTTGTTTTTTACATGGAAAGGAAATTTTATTGGGGGAAGGGAGTGGGGGGAGGGATGCAGGGAGAAAAGAGAAAGACAGAGATCTGTCTACCCCCCAGAGAAATGGCAGAAAAAGCTTTCTTTTTAAAAAGTTTCTTTATATGTTTTAAGAAATCTGACAAAACTACATACCCAGTGGCCTTAAATAATTTTCAGAATTTCTACCTCACTCATAAAAACTAAAGAAGTCACTGGGCAGTAGTAGCCCTGCTTTTAATCCTAGCACTTGGGAGGCAGAAGCAAGTAGGTGTCTGAGTTAGAGGCTAGCCCTGGTCTTCAGAATGAGTTCTAAGAAAGTCAGGGCTACATAGAGAAACCCTGTCTGAAAAAAATAAAAAGTAAAATAAAAAAAAAAAAAATAAAATAAAAACTACAGAAGGCAAAATAAGACTTGGAAAGATTTTTTTTTAACCTTTTTGAGGCAGGGTCTTGGTATGTAGCACAGGCTGGCACTGAGTTCATTGCAATCCTCCTTCCTCAGCCTCTTCCAAATGCTGGTATTACAGGCATGCACCACCACATAGTGAGAAAGGGATCTTGTAGGTAGAGAACTGTTGAGATTGGGTGAATTACATCACCTATGTATCTGTAAGTGACTGATAGGGCAGGAGTTCACAGTGAAACAGTGAAATATTCCAGATTTTATCAAAAGCCAGTAAAAAGAAACTGCACAGAAGTACCACAGATTGCCTGGAGAGACAGAGGCAGGTGGGTCTCTTGAGTTGAGCCTGGTCTGCAAGAGCTAGTTCCAGGACTGGCTCCAAAGCATTACAGAGAAACCCTGTCTCGAAAAATCAAAAAAAAAAAAAAAAAAAAGTACCACCACAGATTGTGTTGAGTGTGCAGAAATGGGACAGATGAATAAGCCCAAAGCAACCCACAAAGGGAAAAAGTAATCCATAGTGTAATTAGAAAATGTATGGTCTGACTTTGGCCAGGAGTTAAGATCCAGGAGGAAACCACATAGTCTGCATGTTCCACTAGTGATGGCTGGGAGTGACTACTGCTTGAGATCTGAACCAGAGAGCTTAGTTACAGTTGAGAATTCTGAAAACAAAGCTGTAGTTTTCCAGAATTAAACCATGACTTTTCTATGAAATACCAGGTAGTTACCATGTGTCCAGAAACATGCAACAGAAATAGACACCATTCCCATGTAAAAATAGCTGTGAAGGTACCATTATAGAAACTTTAGCTGGGAAATGATAGAATTTGTGAAGAGTTGCCAGGTGTCTGTGAACACATGTCCACACAAAGTGTCAAATACATGGCCTGGAATACTCTTGAGATTTAGAAGTAATTTGACCAGAGGTAGGAAATGCAAATTGGACTAAAAGTTTAAAAGAAAAAATGGTTGGCAAAGGTTGTTACCAGTGGAGCCCCATCTTCAGTGGGTAGGGATCACCCGAGACTTTTCCTTCTGTTTCCTGCCCACTCAGTTTCTGGCATACATGAACATTCCCCCCCCCCCCCACTTTTTTTTTTGTAGTCATTGTAGAATAAGAGCTAGAAGATGTCAGCACCCTCAAGGGTCTAAACAAAATACAAAGTTATGAAGTATTGTATTCATGCATGCATGTCTTCATGGCAAAAGCTGTACCATGGTGTGTTGTCACCTCATTTCACAAGCATGTCACTGCTTGGCATTTATATTCTGCTGACATTTTGTACTTAACTACAAAACCCTCTCAGAGATACATGGTGGTAATCTTTTAAAATCTAAACTCTCACAATCCAAGAATATAGGTCTGGTTAGTTTGGTTATTTGGTGGGAGATGGGGGGAGTGTTTTATTTTTCAGAGACAGGGTTTCTGTATATAACAGCCTTGACACTTGCTGTGTAGACCAGGCTGGCCTCAAAGTCACAGAGACCCACCTGCCTCTGCCTCCTGAGTGCTGGGATTAAAGTTAGGCACCACCAGCAGATTGGTTAATTTTTTAAAATCATATTTATTTAGGGGATGTAGTCTCTTGTATGGGCTGATGTTGATGTCACAGTGGATGACATTGGAGCCATATCTCCAGTGAGTGAAAATTCACCAGGCAGAAAAAGAACAGGGAGGTCATTTGTGTTAAAGAAATAAATGGCATGGATTGGCATGTTATTGAAAATTGACTGAACAATTTCCCCTTTAATCGCCTTTTGTGGCATATTTAACATTCTTGTCTTATAGGGGGCTACTGAGTGGTCTCACTGTTACCATATTGCTGGGGACAACAACCCTCTGGCAGTGAACAGAGCAGCAAATAATATCTCATCTCTATTGACTAAAAGCCAGATTAAAGATGGGTAAGTTTAACTTCAAAGACTGCATTACATTTTTTAAGTCACTCTTCATACTGACTTGGAATTATCACTCATTGCCAATGCTTTGTGACATCTTTATATCCAAATGAATAGTGTGAGAAGACACCTCCTAGCTTACTGAAAGTCATTTATAATTAACAATTTCCATACTTTGTTGCAATTTTCTCTTTTTTGTTCATTATTCATGTGTCCATTCCTCAAATAATATGCTATAGTATAGGTTTATTTATCCTGAAAAGGTCATACCCTATAACTCCATCTTACTTTGAACTCGTTGTATTGTGCAGCTGACCTCAGGCTCACAGTGATCCTGCCTTTACCTCCCAATACTGGGATTATAGATATGAGCTACCAAATTCAACTGTTTACATTTGCAGTACATAGCTAGGTTCATTTTAATGTCACAAATTTGAAAATACTTTCAGTATTTTTACATATTTATATACAGTAATCCAATGTTTATGTTTGCACAGCATTCCATCATACAGAACTACTACAGTTTACTTATTTAGCTTTTTTCTAAAATAATGTGAGTTGACCTAGGGTGTGGTGACCTTTAATCCCAGCACTTGGGAGGCAGAGGTGGGTGGATCTCTGTGACTTTGAGGCCAGTCTGGTCTTTAGAGTGAGTTCCAGGACAGCCATGACTACAGAGTAAACCTATCTGAAAAAAACCCAAAAAAGTAAATAAAAATGTGAATTGAAAGCAGCATGAAAATCATCCCTATAACTTCTAAATTACTAGTGATTTTGACTTGTGGCCTTGGCCTGTTGAAATCCTCTGATCACTTTGCCTCTGAAGCCTTTTGTATTTGTCTTTTTTGTTTATTTGTGTATGTGTATTTGCCTGAGAGTGTCATGAAGCTGTGCTATGGTGTAGAAGTCAGAGGACAGCTTGTGGGAGATGGTTCTCTTCTTCCTGTGTATCAAGGAAACTTCTGTTTGTCAAGCTTAGTGGCAGACACCTTTGCCAGCTGGGCCATTCCTCTGGCCTTTTAAACACCTTTTACATGTAAACTCATTTCCCCTGGTGCTTTTTAAAATTGTGTGTGAAACCATACATCCTTTGAAAATCAATCTTTGGAGTTTTTGTTTTGTTTTTTGAGACAAGGTTTCTCTGTGTAACAGACCAGGTTGGCTTTGAACTCACAGAGATTTCCCTGCCTCAGCCTCCCAAGTGCTGGGATCAAAAGCATGCGCCACCACCGCCTGGCTTGAAAACCAGTCTCAACCATATAAAAAACTTGTACGTTACTGTAACATATCTTTTTAGAAAAATGATCTTTAAAGATTAATACTGCAGAATGTTTTTTGCTTTGTTACATTTATTCACATGTTGGTACAAGAGTAGGGTAGGGGTTTAGATGTCACACCAAAGGATTCAGTTCTCTCCTTCCACCATGTGAGCCCCAGGGATCAAGCTTAGGTCATCAGGCAATGGCTTTATCTGCTATGACACCTCAATAGCCTGGGCAAATATATTGAAGTATCTTTCTTTTGTTTCCACAGAAAAACATCCTGGGGGTTGCCCATTGATGCTGTTCAGTGGGATATCTGCAACCTCCCACTGAGAACTGCTTCTGTGGATATTGTTGTAACAGATATGCCTTTTGGAAAAAGGTAGAATTGGGTTTTTCTCTTTTAAATGGAGTTTGATTTCACCTGTTATCGTTACTGTTTGTCTTCTCAGTCAGAAAGATGTACCATAATTCATTTCATCCATTGTGCCATTATATTTACCTGATCCCAATCTTCTTTTATAGGATGGGCTCCAAGAAGAGAAACTGGAATCTATATCCAGCTTGCCTTCAGGAAATGAGCCGTGTATGTAGACCAGGGACAGGCAGAGCTGTACTACTTACTCAGGACAAGAAATGTTTTACCAAGGTACACAACATGAGAGTTAAAATCTCAGCTTAAGATAACTTTAGGATTCTTAAAAGAAGGCTTGGGCCCTAGTGCCAGGGTAGGGGCACAGCAGGCTGGTCAGACAGGAGCCCAGAACTTTGCTGGCCAGTTATTGTAGCCATCCAGTGAGTTTCTGGGTTCAATGAGACCCTTCCTTTACAAACACACACTCACCTATCCTCAAAAGGACAGAAGAGGGCATTTTGTGGATCCCCTAGAATTGGAGCTATAGAGTATATTAGCTGTCATATGGGTGCCATAAAGTGAATCTAGATCCTCTGGAAGAACAGTAAGTGCTCTTAACTTCTGAGCCAACTCTTTGTCCACCACCGGTAACATTTCTTAAGTAGCAGAGATTCTAGGTTGGTTTAAAAGCAGATTGGCAGCCTAATGACTTTTGCCTTTTGTGTGTACCAGGCATTATCTGGAATGGGACATTTGTGGCGAAAGGTCCATACAGTCTGGGTGAACATCGGGGGCCTTCATGCTGCAGTTTATCTTCTAAAACGCACACCTCAAGCCTTTGTTCATCCTTCAGAACAAGATGGAGGAAGACACTCTCCATGGTAAAGCAAAGAATGAAAACGACTATAGTATTTGTAGTTCCTAACCAACACTGGACATATCAACATAAAGAACTTGCTTTGAGGGGGAAACAGCAGAAAAGTAACTTAGTATTGCAGTCTACACTGCTGACTACTCAGAAGGCTTTGTTAGCAAGGTGACTAATGCTATTTCCTCAGAAGCTTACATTGCTTGGCTTCTAGGTTTGAGAGCACTATAGGCCACATTCTATCACTGTTCTGTAGCCTAAGTTCTTTCTGCACCCACAGAAACTAAAGCATACCTCAAGACCTATAGCTTACCATCTGCCTTAAAATAAAGACACACCAAAACAGGGCAAAGATGTTTTGTGTGAATATTAGTAATAGGACATTACTAAGTACTAGAAGTGTACAAGCCAAATTAATTTTCCTTTTAGTATGTGTGTTACTTTTCCAAAGTCCAATAAACAAATATTTAAAACAAACAAACAAAAAAAAAAAAACATTAATGCTGTCTTTGTGGAGAACTAATATATCTTTAAATGAAACCCTGACCTGGGAAGCCTGTTATTCCTGTTTAGTTATTCTCCAACTGTACCAAATCCTTCCTCAGATAGTACTATGAGAAACGAAATAACCTCGGTACTTATCAATCCCTTAATAGTGCTTCCTAAAGCAAGCCCTGCTTGACAGTCTGGCTTCATTTAGCTTAGATCTTCAGTGTGATGTTGCTATTTAGAATAAAGGACACCGTACAGAATTCACATTGAAAGCATAGTCAGTAGCCACTTGACTTCTTGGAACTACTCACTGGAGAATGAACTGGGATTAGGAAATGCCCTAGATGGCATTTTTTTCAATTGTCAGAACATATCATTAATGACTGAACATAAACTTAAAATTACACCATTGACAAAAGAAACCACTTGTACCTCAAAGCTAGTCAGGATGTGCAAGGATAGTTATATTTTTATCACCATTTACCAAGTTCTTGACACAGTATTTATTTGCCAGTGAGTATTTAATATTTGCTGAACAAATGAACTAGTACTTTTTAATGCTAAGTTCTTAAGGTAATATACCAGGTTTTTGCTTGATTCATTACAGATCTAATTCTACTGCATATGAAAAAAATCAGACTTAAGACACTGCAAATACAGTAGGCACTATGTCACCTTTATCTCTGGTTGGTAAATTGTTAACCTAGTTAGAATAAAAAGTGAGCTACCAGAATTTTTTTTTCTCCTCTAAGTTAAGGTTCTGTCACCTTGGCTGGCCTCTGCCCCCCAGGTAAAAGTCTTATTTTTAAATTGTGTTTGTGTGCAGGTACCTCTGGAGGCTAGAAGCTGGTGTTAATAGGTAGTGTGAGTGTGATAGTGGTGGGATTTGAACTCAGGTCCTCCTTACAGTTGTCTGAGCTCCATTGTTACCCTTTCTTTGTGCCAGGGTAAACTTCTCGCTTTATCAGTTGTGAAGATGAAGCCATTAAAGATGCCAGTTCAGTTTCATCTCAAGTTCTTAACTTCTTGTCTTCTGTGACCCACTTAAAGCAATAAACATACCTTTCTCCACTAAAACTTGCCAGTCCAGTGTACCCAGTACCAGTCTTCTAGGCCTTTTAGGAGTCATTGTTTACCATGTCCATCTTTCTAGAGAAGCCATTTCTCAAAATTTAAAACATAATTCTCACCCATTCTTAAAATTTTGAAACACTGTAGTATAGAATTTTTTTTTTAGGGGGGTGGTCAGTTCTGTTTAAGACTGAGCTGGGGATGTAGATTCAGTGAGAACACTAACCTAGAAGTTTGTAATTTTGGATGCCTGAGTTAAGAGGCCCAGATGGTTTATAGCTCCTGCATTTAATTGCTAGAGGATAGGTATTGGCCAGTTGGAAAGCACTCTATCATATGTACAATTTTCCCCAATTCTGGTTTGTATCTCAAAGTTTGCCCCCCCCCCATACCACAAATGAGTGGCAATGAACAGTATGTGCTAAGGCACTGCAGCCCATTAGGACAAATGTCAACGTAGTTGTTCCAGATAAGCTATGAGATTAAAAAGTCATTCCACACTTTGACTATTTTAAGACATAAGTTTATTGCCAAGTTTTCACAGAAGTACAAGCACAGAAACAAGCCCAACCACGCTTGTAGCTTCATCCATTTGTAAAGTGTCATGTATACTATACAATATGAATTATGGATTAGAGTTTGAATATGTGGAAAACTCTTTTAACATAACAAGCTACTATAGTACCCAAAAGAACCACTACAAGCACTTTTCACCTGGTTGATACTCAGAGCAAATAGTTTCCTTCTGAAATACTTCAGCTTCTTGATTTTTAGTTTCTAGTTTCTGACTAAAAGTCTGCATTTAAAATATTCAGTAGTATTCAAAACAATCCAACACTTATTGGAATGACTCCTTTCAAAAGGACTCTGCAACATAGCTTGTGCCAACACTATTCAAAGTTAGTGTGTTACAAAAAACATGCCAAGTCAAATAATTTCCAAAGGCAGTAGACATTTCACTTCCTAAAAGTTTCTTGATCAACTCTTCCATGTCAATTTTATGTAACACCTTAAAACACAAATGGCATTAGTGTTAACAACTAAGCATGTTTTCATAAAGTCACAACTATCTTTCTAATTGGAAATTTGGAACTTTGGAGAAAATGTTTAAAACATTATGACAGTAAAATATCTTTATCCTCATGTACAAAGCTACTACTGTTAAAATAACTTCATGACACACTGCATGGATAATGGAAGGCACAACCTGGAGTTAATTCATAAAAAAAACATACTCTATACCTTAAAAAAAAAAAATCCAAACTTCACAGCAGTATTTAGCATAGTGATATCATTGAGAATCATGTGCCTCTGCTTGCTTCTGAGAATGTAAAAGGCAACATCTTGGGATTAGGAAAAGTATGTTGATCTCGAAGACCTGGTTCTGCTCAAGTGGCAGGGATACAGCCTTAAACTGTCTTGTCCTTAAGGAACAATCTAAAGAAGGAAAAACAATTACACAATTACTATTCTTAATTAGATTTTAAGAACCATAACATTCAAGTGGGACCAAATGTGGTATAGGGGATTTTAGGAAAGGTTCCTTGAGATGTTCTGAAACCACTCTCAACACTTGGTCTAATTTTTGAATTCTTCCCACAGAGAAACCCAGTAGTCTGGTAGTTACTCTGCTTTCAAGTTTCTATAAGTCTACCACCACCTTATAGTACACTTTATCTAGATTTTCTAAAACATTTCAATCAGAGCAAGGTAGTACAAAGTTGGTAGTTATACCAAAAACTAGACCAGTTTTTATCCCTATCCCTGGCCCCTATCTGCTAGTATATCCATGAGAAGTTGCTAAGGCTCACTGAGCTTTAGTTTCCACTACTGTACACTGGCTGTTACCAAGGCCTGTTATGGTGAGTAGTATTCATATGGGATTTTAGTGAAGAGTCAAAGATCATCAAGTCTGAGTGAATTCAAAATTCATCCAGTAGAGGTAGGATTAGTTAGGTAACAAAACACGCACTTTTGTAAATATAACCTGAAAAGATATTACTGTTGCCAAAAGGAAGATCCAAACTTAAAACATTTCTTTAAACAAACTAACACCCAGAAAAGGGTGAAAAAATACCAGGGCAAAAAACAAACAAACAAACAAACAAACAAACAAAAACCAAACCAAAAGAAAAGGGAAAAAAAAAAAACCCAAAACAAAAAACAAGGCCAGTGATTACTAAGAAAAGTAGGAAAAATCAACCTAGGACATCAGAGAAACACAACTCCAGTTCAAGCCTAAAGGCCACTTACTGCTTACTATTCCGCTCAAGAATGGAGTCATGAATATCTTCTGGATAAGTATGCCCTTCAATATACAAACTAGAACACACTATATTACACTATACAAAATCAAGGTCTCAACCTTCAAGGTCTTAGAGTTGTGACCCAGCAAAGTAGTTAGGGCTCTCAGGAGTCAAACTAGTCTTTTCCTTTGTATGCCCAGATGTCATATACTAGACCAAGGGTTGCAAATCATAATTATAGTTACACCAAACATAAGACATGTAAAAATGGCCTTACCCAGCTCAAAATTTGAAAATTAAAAATAAAACTACAAACCCTCACCTTTCACATTAAGCACAAATGTTTAATATTTAGCAAGGTTTTTGCCATAAGTATATGAAATCATATGGTGCCACCTGACAAGAAACTAAGTTTATCTAAACCACCAGCCCAAGGCATGCCTAGTATAAGAACAGGATAGCTGCAGCGGTTAGTTCAAGGAAACACAAGGAAGCACTTGTGAGTATAGGCAGGGAGGCCTCAGCTTCCTCCATGAAAACGACAATAAGACACCTCAGTTAAGTATTAGATTCTTCCACAATAGCTTTGTCCTATATTTCATGGACTTTATCAATTTTAAACTTAATTTCACAAATCACAAATCCACATTTGTTTGGTTCCCAACTCTGCTTACTCACTGAAGAAATCCCCATGTCCTTGAGGAAGGCAACTTGATAGGAGAAACATAGTATTAGAAACATTAGGATGTGAAATCAAACCCTGACTGTAGTTTCTTAGTTGCTCTCTGCCTTGTTTTTTGAGATAGCTCTCACCAGCATGCAGCTTGCCAAGTAACTAAGTTTTTGTGTCCTGTAAGTCCTATGGATACCTCAGGCATGCTAGAGCATGCCTATTTTTTTTTTCTTTTTTTAAATGTGGGTTGCATAGAACACTAACACTTTACTAATTATCACTCAAGCCTCCTTAATATATTCCCTTTAAAAATATCTGACCTGCATTTTGCTTTTCCCTGTCACTCAAGGTTTGTTACTGTTTGGTTATTTTTTGAGAGGGAAGAAAAACAGCTCAGGCCAGGGGCACACTGGTCACTTTTAACCCCAATACTCAGGAGTCAAGCAGACTAGTCTGATCTACAACTATTGAGTTGCAGGCCAGCCAGAGATACATATTGAGTGAGACCCTGTGTCTCAGGAAAGTCTTTAAAGCTATCTTTTTTATATTTACTGCCAGCAAACGAACATGTAAGAACAGAATTTTAATCTGGCCTTGACTGTCCAGAATTTAAATTATATGGGCATGAGATTAGGAAAGGCAAC